GTGGGTTTTATTCATTCTTTTTGCATTCCTTTGGAAACAATAAAGAGCGGTGGCAACTCTTGCTTTTTTGAGTTAATTTAATCAATAGATTAATCTCATATTTTTTCCCGCAGCGACAACAAAGACTTTTTATTCACTCGTACTTAAATAGTTCATTGAGCCTAGGAGTTTGCAAAGTAAAGAATTGAACATACCTTTTTTTTTAGTTTTTCTTAGTCAAGCTTCAGGAGAGTATTCAGATTTGACCATGGAATCTGAATCCTGAATTAAGTGGATCTTGAGTCAATGGTACTTATAACAGTGATTTCACTTTTTACTTAAAACTCCACACTTTTTGCATCTCTCAGATTTTGAGTTTTGTATGTAGATTTTTCTTCCATCATATGTTGTAAGCAACCATTGATCAGGTAGCATGGAAGACGCCTTGTTCCTTTACTTTTTAATATTTGTTCTATTCAATATTTGATTGACTCTTGGATTTAGATGCTTCTTCATGTAGCACCCTAAAATTTTTCCATCCTTTTTCTTATACCTTGACTTATGTTTCATATCATTTTGCATTGGCATTAGTTCATATCATTAGTTCTAGATAGGGGATCGAAGTATTTAGTTCAACACTCAAAGGAAGAGCTTCATTTTCAAAAGCTCAATCAAGGGTTAATGCTTAACTTTGTGGCAATCTCAAGTCATAAGGTTCCCTCATCATCAAGACAAGTCTCACAACTATTTGAGTCAAGGATTCAAGTTTTGATCTCCTCCTCCTATCTTGTGGACAATTGGATTAGGGTTTTGGTTCAAAAGGCATATGTGGTTATTTCTTTGGTCAAGAAATGATTCAAAATCTCAATACACACCTTGGGGGTCCTCTACATGGGTTATGTGTCATCACAAGCCATCACAAGAGCCTCAATCAATGGAAATGATCTTAGGTTTTCATTTGGTCAACAAAAGTCAACTGTGGTTCAATTAGGTGTTTTAAAGTGATTTCATGTGTTTGAAATAAGTAAAGTTAAAAGGAAACATAAAATCAGGAGTTTAGTTGAGTTAGGGTTTGGTTAGAATATTTTCTAAGTGTAGAAAAACCCTAATTCTAGCCATTTTGCAACTTCCATAACTTTCTCATACTTGATCCAATGGAAGCAAACTTGTTATCAAATTAAAGAGGACATCATGAACTATAAATATTTGAAAGGAAGAATGTCTAAGGTATCTATAGTTTGAAAGATATGATGAGCAAACATTGAGAAAATGGAGGTTTTGTCATTTCAATACTTAGAAAATTTTCTAAGTATAGAAATTCAGCTTGAAGTACTTACTTTCAAGCCTATCTTTCATGGTGATACAAGCTTAAAATGAATTTTCGTTCAAAATGAAAGTTGTAGAGCATCCTCCAAGCTTTCTTTTGAGTGCTAGATAATATCCATTGAATGTGTAGAGCTCAAGTTATGATCTCTCCAAGTTAGGATTTTAAAGTTGTCAAGAGTGGACAAGTTTTAGGCAGATTTTTGCGGGCAACTTTCACTAAGTTGTTGACCTCAAATCACTTTCCATTGAACATGAAAGTTGAACATAATTCTTCAAGATTTTTATCCATTACTAGAAATCATCCATTGGATGAAAACTCCCCAAGACATGTGGCATCAAAGTTGAGGTTTCAATGATGACAAAGCATCATGAGTTAGAAATTTTCTAAGTCATTTGAGACAGATTTTGGACACAGCTTCAACCCATTTTTTCTCATTGATCCAAGCCTTGTTTAAATTCATTTTGAATATGGAACTTGTTCTTTACACTTAAAACTTTCTTTGGAGCATGAGAACTCACCAATTGAGCTAAAGTTCACCAAGTTATGGTGGTTCAAAGATGGCATTAAGGACTTGATTCTCATGCATCATATGTTATCATCATGGTGCACAACTTGGATTTCCATGCAGAAAATTCATTCCTACCCTATCTCATGCGCACAACCTCATGCCTTTATCACCAAACCTTGCCAAAACCAACCAAACATTCTCATGTGTTCATGTGTACCATTTTGAATATGGTTGCCAAAATAGGAAAATGACAAAAAAGAAAAGCAAAACTTGCCCACCAAGAATCAGTGTACAATCACCAAACTTGACTTTATTCTCCTCCTTGCTCTACTCACAAAACCATCCAAAGACCATGCTTGCTCGTGCCACCCCATTTTCACCCTAAAAATTCAAATTTGCAAATATGTTACCACAAGCATTTAACCACAGCCACTCTTGTTTTTTACCACCTAAAACCCTCATATATAAGCTACAAACCCTAATGAGAAGCACAGACACATCACTTGGATCAGAATTAGAACCAAAAAAAACTCTCACTCTCAAAAATTCCACTCTTCGAATCTCACTTTCCAAGGGTATTTCCTCTTTATTCTTGCTTCTATCATCATCCATAAAACTTAAGGAGTCACAAGAGGAAGTGTAGTTGAAGCTCAAAGCAAGTTCAAGAGCTACAGAATTGCATTTTTGAGGTAACTTTTCTCTTTCCTTTTTTTCTCATGTTAGATGTTCATTAGGCTCATATTGGTACATATGAAGTCCTCCAGTGATGGAGAAAATGTTTGTATTTGGTTTGTGCAAGAATGTTAGAGTTTCAGTTTGTGATTCAAATGTTTGTGCTCAAATTTCATAGTGATAAAGCCATTTTAAATGAAAACGAATGCTAGATTCATGATCCTTGTGAGTTGCTCTTCAATTTGATGTACACTTTTTGTGTTTTGGTTAAGTTTCCGGCGAGCTCTGGAGAGGCTCGCCTCAGAAGATGACCAGAGCTAGGGATCCGACATCTGCGTGCCTCCACTTACATGGCATGGTGGACTTTGTTAACTGCCTATGTGTATGCTTATGTAGCACTAGGTGGATCCCAGTAGGATTAGTGAAATGGCGCGTTTCACTTTGTTTCTGATTTTTGTTATCATTTGGGTTGGGCTTTGTCCCTTTTGATTCTTGCACCCCCTTTGCTTGTGGCCCAACACATGTTTGAACTGATTCGCCTTTATTTATGTTTTTACTTTCTCACCCCTTGCCTTGTTCATTTGAAGTTTATTTTATTTTCTTTCATTTTTAACTTTCATTTTATTTTTAATTATTCCAACCATTTAAAAGAGCTTTGAAACCCAATCCTGATGGTAATAAAACCCTGATGGCTTGCACATGATACCCTTGCTTAAGCTTGAACATGTTTATCTCCTCTTGAATGGAAAAACAAACCTCTCTTGATCCCCTGTACAGAACCAATGTTATACAAATGCAAATGCTAAATGAAAAGAAACATAAGCCAAGTTAAAAGAAAAAGGTTGGTCAAATTTTGGGGTACAACAGGTAGTATCAATAAATTCTTATAAGCCTTCATTCAACCATATAGTACCATACCTCCATAGCCTCAGGATCCTCTCATTACGATGTGAATTCGGGCGACCACTCCCCACCCTCTTTGACCTCAAATGTTACAACCACTTTTCCCCCTCTTTGGCCTCGGATGTTACATGTCCACTAACTTCCGCTTGGTGTATCCCCTAACCACATTGTATTAGGATATGTATACTCTGATACCATTTGTAATTCCCCAAACTGCTTTCATGATTACCGTCTGACTCGACATGCCAATACATGTTTTTTTAGCATATTTTGAACTCACTCACACGCTTTTCAGGAGACTTTCCAGAAGGTCTTCCATCCAATTACTACTCCAAGTCAAGAACGCTTAACTATGAAGTTCTTATTTCTTAGGCTACCGAAAATAAGATGCATATTCTTTTTAGTAGCCTGACAAATAAGAACACCATAGTTAATCGTGATTGACATGAAGTAGTATTTGGATGGGTGTGACCTTCTGGGAATGATCCGTGTTAGTTTGTTGGATTATTCGGTAATCTTGAAAGCATCCTGAGGCGTTACATTTGCCGTAAGGCGTGCTTAAATACATTTCGGAAACATGTCATTCATTGTAAGGAGATTCCATAATTCAAATAGCGATATGACTTTGTTAGATATTTTTATGTGATATATTTCGGCGTGTTGGGATATCTACGAAGAAAGAAGCGCTTGTGAATTTCTTGACTAACCCACAAGAGGAGAGATCGACACTTATGCCAACAGATGTTCTGATGTACGAGTTGGTAGGAGACGACATGCATGTGTAGACTTGACTGAGATTTTTCCATTGGTAGGACTGAGGACAAGAGGTTTTACTATAGGAAAAACATCTCACAAAGTCGCCTCAAATAAAGTGGCAAATCTTAAGAAATTGTGTTCTGACGATCAACATAACATGCTTTCATACCATTTGACTTTGAGACTTTTGGTTTTTTTTATATAGAATGCAAAGGCTCATTCATAACAATGTTACGTCTGATATGACAATGAATGTAGCTTTTAAGAGAATTAATTTTGTCATCCAAAAAAGAATAGCGGTGCAACTTATTGTTTATTTACATGATATATATATATATATATATATATATATATATATATATATATATATATATATATATATATATATATATATATATATATATATATATATATATATATATATATATATATATATATATATATATATATATATATAATTGAAAATGTGCTTTGACCAAAGAAGAAAGAAAAAACAATTTACTTGCGGCTATCACGTATAAGGTAACTTATACATATTTTGTGAAAAAGAAAGGACAAAACCCCAAAACTAGATCCAATCATCAAACAAATTGGGTTTGGTTATTGCTAGCTCTTATTTTGTCATATAAGGATGTTGAATGGAATCTCATTTTCTGACAAATAAAAATATGGCGATCGATATTGTTTTACATGAAAGAAAATAATGAACAATGTAGGCCATTAAGGGAACCAAATTTAATTAAATATTCATAATTCTAATCCTCCCTTTGCTCTTGTTTTTGGTGGCTATAAAGAATGTGATAAATGATTATGATTTGCACAAAAGAGCCAGAAACAACCAAAATTCTAAAGGCCATGATGACTGGTTCTGGTTCTCCTTGTGGAGCCTGTAAATTCTTGAGAAGAAAATGTATTAGAGGTTGTGTTTTCGCACCTTACTTTTGCCATGAACAAGGTGCTACTCATTTTGCAGCAATTCATAAGGTCTTTGGTGCAAGTAATGTTTCAAAACTTCTTGCACACCTCCCTGTGACTGATCGTTGTGAAGCTGCTGTCACAATCTCTTATGAAGCTCAGGCTAGACTTCAAGATCCAATTTATGGATGTGTTTCTCATATTTTTGCACTTCAACAACAGGTTTGTTCATATCTCATGATCAGTTCCACGCAATTAGTCATCTTAATTAGTATATGTTTACCTGAAAACCCTAGATGGTATGTGCTTATACTTTTTTGTTAAATTTCGCTATGATAGATTATACAATCAACTAGACATAAATACCATGTTCACGATCTTTAACATATAGTTTTATCAAAATTACGGTGAAACAACGCGTTGTCAAATTTATCGTCAGTTCAAATATGCACTTACATCTAATACAATTTACAGGACATAAACATTATATTGATCTGTGTTTTGATTTTTGTAGGTGGTCCATTTACAAGCACAAGTAGCTTATATGAGGGAACAAGCAGCTCAAAGGTGTCTCAATACTTCATTCTCTGAAAACCCTAATGAAAAAAACTTTGTAAAACCTAGTAATATTCTCCCTCAAGATCTTCAAAGTTGGTTCCAAATGGAAAATGATTCCAACATGAGTCCTCAATTTCTTCCCAACTTGTCCTCCTCCACTACTAATCTCTCAACAACAACACAATATTATAATGGGAATGCTACAACTCTCATGGACCTAAACCCTATAATTGGAAACTATGAAAATTCAGGAACTTTAGAAGAAAGCATCTCATCATTTTCTAACTTTGAAGAGAGATGTCATAACTCAATGTCCTGTCATGACATGCAAAGGCAGTGGACCTTTCATGAAATGAATAATTTTCAGTAAGCTTCATGAAAAATTAGAGTCAAGCTGTGTGAAATTTTGCATTGCTTCTACATTTATATATATTGTGAAATCATGTACTTCTGTTGGTATCAATAAGCTTATAGGAAGCCTAGATGTGTTCATATATATGATTGGAGTGAAAATATAACCTAATTAGCTATTTTTTTGTTTAATCTATTCTAATGTATGGTACTTATTAGAATAATGAAGTGAAATTCTTAGAGATAAAATTAGTTTTGTATGAGAAAATTTGGGATAATTTATCTACCAAGAAAAGATCCTAAATTTTGACCTAATAGATCCACTTACCTGGATATACTTTTCCCTGACATTCACTTCCTTTCTCAAATAAAATAGGTTAATTTGCAGTGGTAATCCCAAAGTAAGTGATCATATTTTTATATGAGAAACCCTATATGAAGTTAATTAAATTAATTAAGTTACTCTTATTGGGAAGAAGTAATCCCTAGGATATATGTAGCCAAAAGACCACATGCAACTGTAAATCTCTTTTGAGATGAACGGAAAATTTTAAACGAGACTTTTTTAAGGAGTTTAATGGATGAAATTTCATATTTTTTAAAGATAAAATAAATAGAATGTTGTAGGTTTGAATTTGCGGTCATGCAATAAATATCTCTGCACAGTTATTAAATTGAGATGAATTAACATGATGACTTTAAATGACATATATACAAGAAGTGGTAGTAGGAAATGCAATTGAAATGATATCAACAAAGGTTAATATGCAAAATTTCGAACTAACCAACATTCGACCGAATTTGATGAACTGATATAATGTTGAAACCGAAGTTTTGCCACGAATTAAAATATGCAATAAAAATTAGCAAACAAGCTACGTTCATGAAAGTCAACGCAAAAAGTGGGAAAAAATTCATAATGAAAAATCGTTTGATATGGCCAAAATACACATCCAAACGCAAAACTAATTACATATTCGTGTTCAAAGCAAAAAAAAATTGTTTCAAATTGTATATGAGTTTGAAATTTATGGTTGAGATTCATAATTTTTTCATTGTTGTGTTATTGAGTTCATGAGAGTTCTTGAGCAATTTTCCGAAAATTCAATTTAAACGTGTCTTCATGCAATTAATGATAGAAATAAGTTCCTTAAGCATGTATAAAAATCATAACATGCAGAAAACACAAGAAGAAGAAAAATGAGGATTAGGCTTACTTTGAACGAAAACCTCACGAACTCGACGGCAACAATAGTGGACACGGCAACTCTCCGATCAAACTTTTAAGAAGGTCCAAACAAACTTCAAGTTAAATTATTTTTGTAGGTTTAGAATCCTCTCAATCTCCTCTACTCAAATCCAATATCATATTCAAGATCTAAGAAACCTCAAAAATTGAGTTCAAAATCGAACTAAACCTTTGATATTGATTTAAACTATTTTGGTTGGTAATTTGTGTAGGTAATGATTATGTAAGTTAAATGCAATGAATGTAGAAATACAATTTTTCAAAAACTCAAAAGAATTAGTGAAAATTCAAAGTTTCTTAAAAGTGAATAAACTTGAATTTTGAGAATTCAATTTGGTAGAGCTTTGACAATTGAAAGGGTGAGTTATGGATCATTTTTTGATGTGAAAATGCACTGTTATAGAGTTAGAATTGTGTTAAGGGCTAAACTTGAGATTATGCAAAAAAGAGAAAAGTGTGAGTGCATTTCACTTGAATTTGATGGAATTCATGGAAAATTTTAATTTGATTTGGATTTGATGCAAAATATATGGTGTAAAGCACTCCAAATTGTTGATATATTGTGAATTTAGTGTGAATTTGAAGGTGTGCTAGAATCATAAGTGGTTTTGGTAAGACAAGTGTGATCGTTTTTGTCTTTTAGTGTCAAAATTTTGACTTTTTCTTGACTTTTCATTTATGATGCATAAAAAAAAATTAATAAAATTTGAAATAAAAATTATAATGATGAATTAAATGGTCATGAATTTATTTATCCAAAATGAATAAAGAAACATGTAAATTATTCAATTTTCTCAACATGTGCAATGTTAACTTTTTATTAAAATGCATGAAAATGATTAATGAAACTACAAATAGAATAATGTGATGATGATTTGAATAATTATTGTAACCATGAACCATGATGCATGAAGTTTTAGTCAAATTTTCTAATACATACAAATGTTGACTTTTTGTTTACTTTTGACTTATGAATGCTTATGGGACTCCATGACCAAATAAAATGATATGCAGTTGAGATTTTTGGGTATGATTGTTACCCCTATTTAAATATATTCTACCAGAGTATATGGAGAATGACATTCTTCCTATAATCACAGTGGAAGATAGTTAAATACCCAATTTTTGTCCCTAGAAGGTATGGAATACAACGGAATAAGGTGCGATGAGCTTCTTGGGTATACGTGATGCAGAGTCTTGGGGATTATGGAGATGACTAGGGCTTGTTGGGGATTAGATGCACTAAGGTGAAATGACTCAGTCGGGAAGAAATAAAGGTATGTTTTGGGAATACATCGAAAAGACAAACACATTAGGCAATGCATCGGGTAAAAAAAATTATGGAAATACATCAAAAAGATGAAGAAACATCCGAAAATACATCGAAGAAAAATGTTATGGAAATACCTCAGAACCCATTGCTCATTTGGAAATACATCAGAGAGATAGAAAAACATCCAAGAATACATTGGATAAGTTCTGGAAATACCTCAAAACACAATAGAATATTTAGAAATACATAAGATAGACCAAGAAACATCTGAAAATATATCTGATAAATTCTAGAAATACCTCATAACACGTTGCTCATATGGAAATACATCAGAGAGACAGAGAAATATTCGGGAATACATCAGATAAGTTCTGAAAATACCTTATAACAAAATGGAATATCTGGAAAGACATCAGATAGACCGAGAAATATCTAGAAATACATCAGATAAGTTCTGGAAATACCTCAGAATACAATGCTCATATGGGAATACATTAGAGAAATAGAAAAGAAAAACATCTGGGAATACATGATATAGGTTCTGGAAATACCTAAGGACACAATAGAATATCTGGAAATACATCAGATAGACTAAAAAAACATCCCAAAATATATCGAGTAAGTTCTAAAAATACCTCAAAACACAATGCTCATTTCGGAATACATCAAAGAGATAATAAAAAAAATTCAAGAATACATTGGATAGTAAAAGAAATAAACTAAGGAAATGCCACAGAATCACAAAGAAACATCTAAAAATACATTAGATACAAAAAAGGGTTCTGGAAATATATCAGAACACAAAGAAAAATCCATAAATTCATTGGATAGTAAAAGAAATAAATTCTGAAAATGCATTAGAATTACAATGGTGTATATGAAAATACCTCAGATAACAAGAAAAAGATCCTGGAAATACACCATAATAGATAAGACAAATCCATAAATTCATCGAAGAGTAAGAGAAAGGAACTCTAGAAATGCATTAGAATTGCAAAGGAATATCTAGAAATACATCAGATAAAAAAGGGGTTCTAGAAATACGGCAGAACAAAAAGACATGTCCGGAAATTCATCGGAGAGTAAAATAAATAAACTCTGAAAATGCATCAGAATTGTTAAGAAATATCTGGAAATATATTTGATAAAAAAATAGGTTCTATAAATATGTCAGAACAAAAAGAAACATCCACAAATTCATTAGAGAGTAAAAGAAACAAACTCTGAAAATGCATCAAATTGCAAAGGAATGTATGGAAATACATCAGATAAAAAAGGGGTTATAGAAATATGTCAGAATAAAAAGATACGTCCAAAAATTCAACGAATAAGAGAAATAAAATTTGGGAGTGCATGTTGAAAAGTATTTTAGGTGGGTGTTTTATCGTATCCACGGGGATTGTACGCTAGATATATAGCTGCTCGCCGTTCAATAGTTTAACGTTCTAAGTATATATTTTTCAAAAGACTTCTTGTTTTGTAACATAAGTTTGTTGCAAAGAGTAAATTAGGGCAAAGATGTTTTGTTTAAAAAAAAGCATGTCAAGATTAGATTTCGTTAATCCTTTTCAAATGTATCTGATTCATCAAGCATGTGAACTTTGTTTCGACCAATACAATCGCGTATCCTCACAAATCCGTTAATTTCTAAATTAGCACCGTGAATATTATTATTTTAATCGCTAGATGATTTTTCAAAATAGCAACCAAAACAACAAACATAAAGATCGATACAAAGCAAATATTAACTTCCAAATCTATGTCTAGAGTTTGTTGGTTAATAGATGAAGAAATTAGATCAAGACTTGAAAAATCTATGTCTAGAGTGATTCAAACCATAAATACATTATTAAAAGCAAATATCTTCATCATCTATTAATCATAAACCTTGTTTACATACAAAAGATCAAAAGAAATACATAAAAGCAAGATTAACTACCTCTAGTTTTGACACAGAAGTCTTTAGCTACCCAACACCATGGTAGCTTGATCAACAAGTAAGAAAATATGATTTGCTAGCATCAAAGTCGAAGAATCGAGGATTGATGCTCCAAAGATTTGATTCTCACTTCTCCTTGAGTTCCTAAGGTTTTTGACCTAGAAAACCCTTTGTCTCTTCCAAAAATGCTGAAAAGTGTAAAGTACAAGAGTTGGTGAAAATATCTCTTATAGCAAGTGCAGTAAGTGGAACCGTGCTAAGCGCCATCAGGAGCGCGCTAAGCGTGGACATCAAAAATACAGTCAATTTCCTAGAAAGCACGCTAAGCGCTTGAAGACTTTAGCTACTTAAATTGGCAGAAAGGGCGTGCTGATTTTACGCTGAAAAGCTCGCTTAGCGCGAGTTACCGACACGAACTCTTCGAAAATCAACTTTTAGGCCTTCTTTCCTTCACCAATTGTTCTTATCATCAAATATAAGAAAGAAGGCCTGTCAAAGAGCATCAAAATAATCATAATTCACAATATTTACAATAAAAATTGGAAATTAACATAAATG